GCTGAAAATGCAGTCAACTATTGAGTATACTCTGAAAGTAGGCAACAAGCCAGAAAAAAGAGATATATATTGCAGTACATTTATTTTTATCTTCTAAAGTAAAAGTTAACTTCTCTTTCAAAGGAATTTCAAAAACAATTTTAAAACCTTTTCATGCCCCCATCAGGTGCTTCAGTCTTAACCCAGAAGAAACGTTCTCTTCTGGAGAGAGAGGCAGTATTTATAACCAGAAATGCTTACTGACATGTCCAAGGAGGGTCAGTTTTTGCCCATTGGGACTGTGTGTTTTTATGGTATGCAGAGTTATCAACAAAGAAATTAAATTATATAAAGTATGCTTATGGATTCTCTTATGAAGTAACTGCAGCACAATGAGGGCCAAACTGCCTACAGACAAAGTTGCATGGGTATTAACAATAAAGAGGTCATCTAGTTGCTCCCTATTCACCACTGGTCTCACATCTTAAACTCTCTTATAATTTACATTTACTAAGATTTGCATTCAAACGTATTTAGAAAATTCATACATTTTCTAAGTGGTTGGCATAATAGATCATGGACAATATTGTTTCTCACGAGATTAAGATAATTTTCCTTGATTCACATTTTTAGTTATACATCTCTATCATTAAAATTTCTATAAAAAATGGTTTATTTTAGATTCTTACATTGTCCATTAAACATACAGGAAATCAAAGAACATCCAGTATACTTAAGAGCTCTCCAGAAGGAACAGAGGCCCAGACAGGCAGTCAAAGCCCCAAGCATTCCTTACCAATCAGTCCAGCAACATCATCTACTGGATATCAATCTTCCGCACTTAGGGGGGAAAAAAAAAAAAAAAAATCTACCTGAAAACTGAACAAAACCTTTTTTTTTTTTTTGGTTTGGACAGCTTTCAAGATTTTTTTAAATCTTGAGTTGGGATGTCTTCCACACTGAGGCAGCCTAGAGGCAATAAACAGCATCATCATGAATAGGTAGAATTGTCTGTCTTTTTGGGAGAAGGATCACATAAGCTTTTTCTTTTTTAAAATACATACTTCTTTTCTCCACTTTAAAGGGGATCACTAGTTTCAAATTCCTTAAAATACTGGTTGAATGAAACAATATGGATCTGATGAATGTCTGTATTTTAAAAATATAAACACTGTGTATCTTGCTCATTTGCTTATAAGCGATGTTTCCAACCTAAAAATACAGCATGCCTGCATTCTGAATCTGTCCCCTCCTTGTCAGTAACTGCTTCCAGAGGTGAGGGTTTATAAAGAAAGCAGATAGCCAGGCAAACTTCTGGCAGCCACTCGGTTGCAAGAAAGACCTGCAGCCAGAAATTCGCAAATGGAAAGCTCAGACAGGCAGCTAGAGAATTTTTCTCATCTAATAAATGCCTACAGCTTATCATAGGAATATACTTGAAAACAAAATTGCTTATAATTAAAATATATAATTTCAGAATCATAACAGCATATTAGCCAGCAAAGTATGCAGCACATTCCATACATATGATTTCCCAGTGCCAGACCACAGGAGCCAACTGTGCGAAATGAAGACTAAATTCACTCTCAGTGTTAAAAACCACCAGTGACAAAATCTTTTGATGAAAAATTGCACTAAAATCCATTAATGCGTTGTATAGTAAGAAAATGCCTTACTACCAAAAAATCTGCAAACAAAATACTGCAGCAGTTTACACATGCAGTTCCAAAACTGATAAACGTTAAAAAGGTAAGTATGAAATGAGCGGATCAGAAACCTAACAAGGAACTATTCTAGAGAAATTTGTAAGCATCATGGAAATGACAGCGATGAGTTGCCAGAAGGCAATATAAGGGACTCCCAACACAAACACTTCAACAAACCTGGGAAAAACTATGATATAGAAACTAACAGCTGAATTTTCTGGGGAAAGGGAAAGCTGTAAAAAAATCTCATGAGAAATCTATCAGAAAGAAAACAAAAATGTTCAATGTTTCATGAAAAAAGGCATCACCCAATGTATCAAGCTTCTGCTAGAAGTTTAAAGGAATTCAGGATGTTCTTTAAAGAAAATTTGCTAAAGTTTGGCGTGATGATGATTAAATCCCAAAATTATCAACAGAAATTTGGAAAGGAATATATTTCCAAATGTAGTTGTATTGTTTTGATTAGATGCATCACATATTTTTCAGTTTCCTAAATACATAAATTAATGTTTAAGAAGCTTTTTCTGTATACTGGGAAATTAGCAGGCAGGACACTAGGACATGGATGAATAGAGCATATACTCCACAACACAGCCCTGCGGAGACATCGGAGCATGCTTAGATAGCCTTTTCCATAGAGACCTCAGTTTGCTCTGTCCACACAGAGAGGCTAGATACTGTAAGCGGAGCACAGCACAGTGGAAATAAGTAGAAACGTGGAAATAAGGCTTTAAGCTGGATCCGGCTCATGTCTGGCCAGCTTGGAAAGTGGATATACCAAGATTCATTCTGGCTGCACAAGTCATGCGGATAATGCAAGCTACTCCGGTTTCAGGGCGGAATAAGTCACTTTGCACAAAGGTAGTCAGTGTAAATTATAACTGATCACGGAAAGAGTCAGCTTGGAATTACTCTGTACACAGTACATTCATTCCCTAAATAGCTACATCTTTACTTTGCTGTGCAGAGCTTCTCCTCAGAGCTATGGACACATGAACAGAGAGGCAAAGCTTGAGGCATAAACAGGAGCAAATAACATCGTACCTGCTGCGTGCACACAAGCTGACTTTAGATTTGAAAGTATAAGGAATATACAGGCTGCGTTTGAAAAAGCAGGCCATCTGAATAGGGAAAAATCACCTCAAAATATCTGTGGATAATATGCCACTGCCAAGGCAAGACTACATCAATTTTAGGTACTGCATCATGTATTCACAGCCTTATAAAAATCAAGGCAGTTTGAACTTCCACAGGTTAATAAACTAATGTAAGTAAATCCTTGGAAACAGGTTTGCGGTACACTTGTATTTGGTATTACAGTACCACCTACTGATGAAGACTAAGGGTACCACTCTGCTAGATACTAAGGAACTCAATCTCTGCACTACAAAGCAAGAGACCTCGTTTTGGCAAACGTTACATATACTTTTCGTGAACAGTTCTGTCAATCAACTTAGCCACTGTCAATCATCAAAGGAAGATAGAAAATGCTCCCACAGTATTTGAGCAAATATTAGCAGGAAAGCAGGGGCAAGTTTATCAAGATCCACATCATAATGTCAGTTTGTGTGTCTTTCAATATACAGCATCTGCTAGGCACTACACAAAAGTCAGTTTTAGCAGAGTTTGACCTTTAGGTTTAGATTTGCAAAATCTGAAATAAAACTCAACGTACATACCATTAATCCAGAAGACTTCTAACAAACAAAACCAGCCATACTAACATGACAGTGTTTAACAATGGGAAAAAAACTAAGGTGGAGTCACAGACGCTGGCAGAAGCATAGAATAAAGGTCAAATCTGGTAGCGTATTTTAGAATAAATAATTCACACAATTTTTCTCAAAGGCAAAGCTGGTAGCCCTACCTACTATTTAAGGTACCATAACACTCCCCATTACCCAACTCTGTTTTCTGATACTTAACATTTTGTCAGACTTTAAAATGTTCATGGAGAAATTTAATATGCTTGCTGACTGCCTCAGATTGTTTTTTTTAGGTTATGGTTCACCTGGAACAGGGACTTAAAATTTGGTTTCAGAGTAATTTGCATGTCAAGGATTTGATTTTCAACCAATTTTACCAGCTTTTTCAATCTGGTAAAAATAGAGCTGAACTAAACCGGGATTCACCCATGATTACAGAAGATTGTAAGAACTCGGGATTCACCCATGATTACAGAAGATTGTTGGCGGTAGAAACTCTCATAAGTGAGTCAACATTAGGCAGAATTTTCACTGCAATTGCCATTCGGAGACACTGCAGCCCAGCCCGGGGTCAAGCAGCAG